ACAGACACACACACACACACACACACATACACATACACACACACACACACACACACTCACACAGGAAGCAGGACAGTTTGTCACAGGTCCAGTTTGTCACATGCCCACCCCGTCTCGACTGTGCCCTGCATGATGGAAATTGTCACCGAGACTCTTAAAAATGAGTAAATGAATGATTAATAATTGTATTGTATGTGTTGAATTTTATTTTTAAATTGTTTTTAACGAAAGAACATTCATTGTTGAAATTGTACACACAAAAAGTAAAAGGAAGAAATATTGAACAACACAAGCTGAATTGACATTTTAGAGGGACTATCTCAAAAATCTCCTCTACACCACTAATTTGAAGGTGAAGAATAAAAGGACTTAAGTTACAACTACAGTGTTAAAGTGCTGTAATTATGACAAACTGGGCCTGTGACAAACTGGGCAGCCCCCCTCACACACTCACATACACACACAATCCTAATGTGAAAGTCAAGCGCATTCAGGTCTAGACTGTTTTAGGACCAATTGAACTCAGTCCAACGAATGATTGCTTCGTTAATAACATGATGGATGGTCCAGTGCAGTTTCAACAGCTCTGGCAGGAGACAAGAGGTGTAAACCCCATGTTGCTGTGAATGTTGGTTCTTTCTGCCCTCAGCATCAACGTGGCGTCGGTGGCCTAGTGGTTAGGACTTAGAGTTTGATTTGTTTTTTTCTATGGAACCCATACCTTTTTAAATGTGAAGCTCATCTAAAAAATGAATACTTTGCTAAGAATTTCATATTTGTCACAGACATCTGTCCTGTATTCCCGAGCAAATAATACAATGATCAATTTAGGAGATTGCGCTTGGCGATACATCGTCACTGTAAAAGCACGCTTTAGAGGGATGAACTGATCTGCCGTTTTGTAAAAGCAAAGAAAACAAGCAGAACGTAATAAACATCTATGTTCTATCCCTTGTTAATTAGGAGCATTATTTAAATTTGTTCTGTGGACCAGTTTTTACGTAGGTTTCTGAGCAATTCAAATGTTTGGGGTTTTTTAGGTTAAAAAATATATTAATGTGGTCGAAAGGGTGGATTAGCATTCTCAAACTTTCCTAAAGTCAAAGTTCAAAGTTTTTCATAGGTGAGGACTGTCTGTTTGAAAGATAAATTTTCATTTAAAATGAAAAGGTCTTTTGAAGTACATCTATGAATTCAAAGTATTTTATTTTTTTAAGACACAATGAACGATCGTGGTGACCAGCACTTCAAGGATTGGCTCAAGACCACCATCGGAGATTCTCCTCTTATCTCTACATCCTGGAGCGAAGCCACATTTGATCTCACTGACGTCATGATCAACGCTACCAAACATGGGGTTAGCCTCCTAGTGAACCTCTATTCAGGGGAAGACAACAAAAACTCGAGTGCATACATACTGAAGGTAACAGACCTGTTTATATTGATTAAATGTGTTGGATGCAATAATGACTATATATCAAATTATTTTGCATTGGTGTATTAGAAAACATGTTGGCTTGATGGAACAATGACAATAAGTATTCAAAATTTCCGCTGTTGTTACTTTATAAGTATTCTCTCGATGAATGGCATTTGGGATAGCGAATTGTCCTTGTGATATATGTTACTTGAAACCTATTCCCCTTCCCTCAAACAAATAAATTACTTGTTTCTATTTGACTGGAGTTCGAAATTTTCTTTTTTTAGATGGACCAAACTAGTTTTGGCATGCCGAGTCAGAAGTACTACCTGGTCCCCCGAAATGACACGATGCTCATGGCCTACCAGACATTCATCTACAGAGTGGCACAGACCATGGGGTTTGCAGATCCCGTCACGGCTCAGCGAGATGTGGAGGACATTGTGGATTTCGAAATGCAGCTGGCACAGGTGAGGATAATAAAACATTCTGTTTACGAGTTGCTAAAGTTTAAAAAGTTGAAATAATTGTTATAGAGGCAGTCCTTGAAGACATTCTTCAGTTTTAAAGGTGCAGCTTAGAGTTCTGGGCTAATGACATTTATTTTCAAAATGATTATGAAAGTGATCACATGGGGTTTGGTGGGGGGGGGGGCAGAGGCAGAGGGTAAATTCTCTGATTTGAGTTGTGTATTATATTAGTATATTTGCCATAGACATGATTCGTAAAGTTGTACTTTATTAAAACTGATATTTACGGTATCTTTTATGAATGACAAGGAGAATGCACAAATCTCATTTACACAATCCTACCGCATCCCCTCTCCGCCCCCAGATCTCAGTCCCATCCGAGGATAGGCGAGATGCAGAAGCCCTGTATAACCCCATGACCTTGGCAGAAGTAAATGGAAACTACAGCACGGTTAGTACATTACTACTTCTGTGCCGGTACATGTGCTGTACCTCATATAATTTTCTGCTTGCACAGTTTTAATGGTCTTTTTCTGTTAGAGCTCAGGGAATATCTGACGGTAAGATCTCCATCTCAAAGTGCCGTTGATTTTATAAACATGGTTGTTTT